CCACATCTCAGTCAAAAAGCAAATAATCTGTTTATGTGAGATCCAGTTTGTCAAAAATGTGTATGATTATTATTAGTCCATAAACACTTGTGTGTCAGTCTGATCTGATCTTTATTTATGACAGAAATCAATGTTTATCAGAGTTTAGCCTTTAGCCATTTTTTTTTTCACCCAGACGCTGGAGTCGTAGTGAGCTGCGTGTCTGAATCTCTCTGTGAATGAGTGCACTGTAGAGGGCGCTAAAGAGTGCAGGTCTATGTAATGTATGAGGGGTCAGGGACAAGGGTGGACATTAGGAAACAGCCTCAGCTTAGCCCTGCTCTGAGCCTGTGCTGGCTTTACTCTAGCACAACCCCCAGGCCTCTAAACCAGAACTAAAACCAGAACTAAAACCAGGACTAAAACAGGTCTAAAAAGATCTACAACAGGTCTAAAACCATGTCAAAACCATGTCAAAAACAGGTCGAAAACAGGTCTAAAACCATGTCTAAAACAGGTCTAAAACCACGTCTAAAGCAGGTTGAAAACAGGTCTAAAACCATGTCAAAACCATGTCAAAAACCATGTCAAAAACAGGTCGAAAACAGGTTGAAAACCATGTCTAAAACAGGTTAAAAACAGGTCTAAAACCACGTCGAAAACAGGTCGAAAACAGGTCTAAAACCACATCTAAAACAGGTCTAAAACCACGTCTAAAACAGGTCGAAAACAGGTCTAAAACCACGTCTAAAACAGGTCTAAAACCACTTCTAAAACAGGTTGAAAACAGGTCTAAAACCACATCTAAAACAGGTTGAAAACAGGTCTAAAACCACGTCTAAAACAGGTTGAAAACAGGTCTAAAACCATGTCAAAACCATATCAAAACCATGTCAAAACCATGTCTAAAACAGATCAAAAACAGGTTGAAAACAGGTCTAAAACTGGATCCAAAACATGTCTAAAAACTGGTCTAAAACAGGTCTAAAACAGGACTAATGGGTCGTGAAATATTGTTGGATATAAAACCGGTCTGTAGCGCAGAAAAGGTTGGGGACCTCTGCCTTCCAGAATGGGGGCAGGTTGTATTTGGACATACAATATTTTAAACGATTTATTTTTATTCTTTATTTGTGCTGCTGATGACCTGGACCTAAGTGCAGTGTCTCGTTTCTTTGTATTTTTTATACTGGAAGGACAAATAATTTCTGATTCTGGAAAATGACAGCGCTGGAGGATAATGGTTCCTGGTAGCTTCATGTTTGATTCTTCTCAAAACTCTTGCAGTTAAATTGTGTCTTTTTCTTCCTCTACACATTTCTTGCGACACTGTTGAGTATTTGCAACAAAACTCTGTGATCACTAGGGATTTATAAAACAGTAACAGAAATATAATGATATCGTATCATCAAAAATATCGTGGGCCATCACAATATATCGAATTACAAGTTTCTCTGCTTAAATTCATTGTTATGGTGCAGCAAAAACAGAGAACTACATAGACCATGATCCTTTGCTCCATTTCACTGCAGACTACATGAAGAAATAACAGTTCTAAAGACTTTTAAATCTTAGTTTGTTGAATTAATTTTTGTCGAGGCATTTTAAGAGGAAAAAGTAGCAGATTCACAAACAACCTCCACAAAATATTGCAATAAATATCGTACCGTGAGATGAATATCGTGAAAATATCGTACTGAGAGATTTGAATATCGTTACATCCGTAGTGATCACGCATCAGTATCTTTGCAATTTCAAGAGTGCTGCATCCCTCTGAAGAGACTTTTTACAATTTTTGACTTTGCCGTTTAAATCACTTGTTATTTTTTCTTGAATTTTTAGGCAGTCTTAAAACTTTTTTGGGCAGTGTTTACAACTACAGATTCACGTAGAACACCCCCGGCACGATGTCACTCCAAAGCATCAATAGTGACCCCGAAAACCCAACATCCGAACTGAAAGAAGTCTTTAAAAAGTGACTTGGAGTTGAAAATTTTTTGCTTCACGGAGCAAAAACCAATCCGATTACCAGCCCCCACCTCCCCCATTGTCTGCTCCCGCTTTCGCCATGGCAACCGCGCAGCACCACCCACGACGCTTAGACGCATAATTACCGCCGCTCTATAACGAAGAGCCGCTCACCTGTCAGTCAAACCTCAGGCCTTAAATGAGGGTGTAGAGCGGAGAAGGGGGGACCGAGGGGAGGGGCCGGACCATTAAGAACATTAGGAGCTGATTTAGAGACAGAGGAGACAGGCCCGCTCGGATAATTATACGTATTACTGACTTAAATGGATTTTGGAAATGAGTCTGTGGCAAGGTAGAGGTATTATCATATCTAATAGCAGTGACAATTTTGCTAAGGAGAAAAAGACAGGTATTGTAGTTAATTCCCCATAGTATTGTCTGCACAGAGACTTTTATAATGAGTCCAGTTTATGCGCTTTATGGGTCTGTGGGTGAGTCGTGGCCTGGGGCGGTGATACTGCTCTGTCCTTGTGGTCGGCTCTGAAAATGTGTTTAATTTCACATGTTTTCCCTTTGAATAATACAAAAAGGACACGTACAATACAAAATACTGACTTATTTACTTTCTTCTGTGCAGTCGCACCAGCAAACCAGTGATACATCTGATTATGTCAAAAATGTTATACATATAAGTAATAAGCTTGTAGTAGTATTCGTAGTAGTAGTATTCGTAGTCGTAGTAGTGCTGTTTGTACTGCGCTGTGTGTGTCTCTGTCCATGGTGCTGAAATGAATGTTTGTTTCTGTGTGTTGTGTGTGTTGTGTGTGTGCTGTGTGTGTGTGTGTGTTGTGTGTGTGTGTGTGTGTGTGTGTGTGTGTGTGTGTGTGTGTTGTGTGTGTTGTGTGTGTTGTGTGTGTTGTGTGTGTTCTGTGTGTTGTGTGTGTTGTGTGTGTTGTGTGTGTTCTGTGTGTTCTTATGTATGAATGTTTATGTAAGATTAAGTTTCATGAACCTGTCCTCAGAGATAAGGTGGTGGTAGTAGTAGTAGTAGTAGTATTTGTAGTAATAGTAGTAAAACAACAACTACTACTACTACTACTACTACTAATACTGCTACTACTAATACTAATACTACTACTACTAATACTGACTACTACTACTACTACTACTACTACTACTACTACTACTACTAATAATAATAATAATAATAATATAATAATAATAATAATAATAATAATAATAAACTATACTACTACTACTAATACTAATACTAATACTAATACTAATACTAATACTACTAATACTACTATACTACTAATACTACTACTACTACTACTACTACTACTAATACTGCTACTACTAATACTACTACTAATACTACTACTACTAATACTACATACTAATACTAATACTACTAATACTACTACTACTACTACTACTAATACTGCTACTACTAATACTAATGCTAATACTAGTACTACTAATACTAATACTAAGACTAATACTACTACTACTAATACTGCTACTACTAATACTAATACTACTAATACTACTACTACTACTACTACTACTACTACTACTACTACTACTACTACTACTTCTAATACTAATACTAACACTAATACTTATACTAATACTACTGCTACTACTACTACTACTACTACTACTACTACTACTAATAATAATAATAATAATAATAATAATAATAATAATAATAAAGCACTTTTAAAAACAAGGTTTACAAAGTGCTGTACAAGCCATAAAGAACAATAAAAATAGCGTTCAGAAAGCATATCAAATTCATATAAATGAATAGAGATGTGCATAATGATATATCATATCATTTAATGTGATGATACAGTATCGATATTGTGGGCTGCTGTATCGATATATTGCCAATATTTTACTCAGTTATTTTGTTAGAGTGCTACAGTTTTGTTGTTTGTTGAGAGGAAGGAAACTCGTTTTTGTGACACATTTGACATTTTCTCTGTTCTGATGATTAAAATGTTTGTGTTTCATATGAACACAAGAAGTGGTTTAACAAAGACTTTTAGTATCACAGCCATGATTTAGACTTTATTTTTATTAAACTCTATCAAATTGTTTTGAAATAGACCGTACTAAACTGAAAGTGTACTGTATCAATATATGTATTATGTATCCTATTGTGGCCTATGTATCAAGATATGTATCGTATTGGCAACTTCTTAATGATACCAGCTCTAGTCATGAGTCAGTGCTAGTGCAGCCTCTGCAGCTCAGGGAGGGAAGTTTTCACATGAGACATGGTGTGTCCATGTTCAGTTGTGAGTACATTTTTGAAACTATAAGAACACAGGCTGCATACAGTGCCTTTACTGACAAACATTTGGGATTGTTTTTGTCAAAATTGTAGAATAACAACATAAAATGTCCTATTAGTGTAAATTATTCAATGAGTTTTGTGTTGATAGAGAATATGTCAAACAGTGTGCCATAATTACAGAGATATAGAGATATAGAGAACCATAAAGCAGGTGGTGGAATCACTGGGCGGCAGAGTTCTACTAAACAGACTTCTGAAGTGAACTCATTTGAAATGTATCTGTTATTCTAAACTATGGCTGATTTCATTGCTGTATTGTGTCTGTTGCAGTCCCGTCTCTGGTCAATGAGTTAAGTAGAGTTAGCGTAAAAGTTATAGTAGATTTCTGAATTTGGTATAGTTAGTATAAAGTAGATTATAGTAGTAGTAGTTCATAGTAGTTCAGTTTCATGTTCTTCAGCAGGCTCATGTTCTAGTAGATTTCATGTGTGTTTTAGTGTCTTGTGTGTTGCAGGCTCATGTTCTAGTAGATTTCATGTGTGTGTTTTGTGTGTTGCAGGCTCATGTTCTAGTAGTCATGTTGCAGGCTCATGTTCTTGCAGGCTCATGTTCTAGTAGATTTCATGTGTGTGTGTTGTGTGTTGCAGGCTCATGTTCTAGTAGATTTCATGTGTGTGTTTTGTGTGTTGCAGGCTCATGTTCTTGTAGATTTCATGTGTGTGTTGTGTGTGTTTGTGTGTTGCAGTCCCGTCTCTGATCAGTGAGCTGAGAGCTGAGAAGATCGAGGAGAAGAGTGTGACTCTGGTTTGGAGAGAACCCAACGACCCCAACAGGAGCAGGCCCGAGTACGAAGTCAAGTACTACGAGAAGGTATTTATACTGCTGTAACCAGTATTTTACAGTGACATCACGCCGGGGGGGTTTATATGTATGTAAATGGAAGAATGTTCATTAGTTACCAGGGTGACACAATGGACGCATTAGCAAACACAGCATATAAGTTTTCAAATAGTCTGAAAACTCAAGAAAAATATAAAATGGATTCAAACAACATATTTTCTGGAGTCTGTGATCAGTCCAGGCGTTCGTTCATTCATTCATTCATTCATGCATTAAAACAAAGCTCAGATTAAAGTGTAATAAAACCTCAGACAGAGCAGTGCCTTTAGTTAGCGTCATGCTCCTAGGGAATGTTGGTGATATCAGCTGCAAAGTATCAGTAAGCTTGTGTTTTTTTGTCCATATCTTTTTATAAAACATATTTGGAAACAGAAATGGAATGAAAAAGTGAAATTTTTATTCACAAAACAAAAAACAAACACAGACACATAACCCAAGGAGCACTGCTTGTCTCCATGGAAACATCACTGTGCCTCCCATGTTCAACATTTGCCACGTTTACATGAGAGCTTTAATTCAGAATGAAATAATCTAATTCTGGATAAAAATAATTATGCTTTAAAAAGACCATGTAAACACTTAATTCCTAATGAAAATGATTATTCAGAATTAAACTTAATTCTGAGGTAAGTGGTTTATTCCAATTTTAATGCCAAATTAATTTATTCCTTGATCATGTAAACATTTATTCTTCTTAAAAATCATTGCGGTCATTCAGCACATGCTCACTGAGTCACCCTTCAGTCATAATCCGGGTGATCCGACTCCACCAGTCCTGGCTTCAGACTTTCATCCACGTCTCTTTGGATTTGTGAGCTGGATGTGGGAGTGGGCTGAAGTAGAGCAGCTGTTGACTCCGTTTGTCTTCTTCCTCTCTTCTTCGACACTCTTCCCTTCTCCTCCTCAGCTGACAGATGTAAAGCGTGATGAGAGAATTCTCCAGCTGCTGTGTAATTATCATCAGAACCACTGTGGAAAAATGTTTGTACCATGTTTGTGTCCGTGACGTAACGACAAACCGAGATGACAGATAAGCTGTTAGCAGCTGAAGTTTGTGTTTTCTTCAATATGTAAAGGGTCTGTCACACCTTGATGATTTAGCCAGAGTATGCTGACATATGAAAAATTTGCCAGATATCCTGGCATACGTCAGATAAGTTATAGGCAAGTTTTGTTTAAGTTTTGAGCACGCTGAAGCACGCTGGCATACACCAACATAGGGCAAGGTTGTCGAAACATTTTAGCATGCTGAAAATAAATCGCCGTATGTCAGCATGTGCTAACGTCGTGCATACGTGGGCCATAAGTTGTATGTGTTCACACACTTTAATTGTAAGTTCTTCATAAGTCCAAATATGTTGAGATAATGTCTCGTGTACCCAGAACTTATGAGCAACGTGCTTTGAACCGATGTGTTTATATTGAACTTATCTCCAACACATACTGATGTATGCAGACATATTGGACATGTTCCAGATGACCACAGAACTTACTGAGCGTGTTTCTAACTTAGAGCTACCGTATAATGGCATATTGGCAGCGTGTAGGGAAACTGGTATATAAAAATGGGTAAACCGTCAGTACGCCGCCAGACCTGTGGTACCACCCGCTCCACGTATCACCCGAGAGATGGAGGATCCGACAAGACTGAGATGAGAATACAAACTCTCTGTCCTCCAACATCAGCATGATCTCATTGATTTGTCACTGTACCAGTTGCGTGTCAATAGAGCCTGGAGAAGAAGAGATCAACAGCAGAGAAGGAACTGAGTGAGACCACGGATCAGGAGGTGACGGCAATTTGGCATGTATGATCAGTTGTCTTCAGCATGACACTGATTATTGTTGCTGCTGCGATGTCTAATGCAGTTATGAATCATCGAGCGGCAGCCTTTTTATAGGTGACGACACGTGATCATCTACGATATGCTGCCATGCACTATGCATAAGTTAGACTGTCGTTGGGCATAAATTATGGACGCTGGCAACACTCTAAGCATTAGTCGGTGTAAGTTATTTAAAAGTTATCAAAACGATCTATATAAGTTACTACTCGTTATGAATACGCTATGTATGATTCCAAGATTGAAAAAAAAAACATTGATAGTTTATCGTATGCCAGCGTTTTAGGGAACTTCTGGTACGTTGGCATACGCTGACTAAATTGTCAATGTGTGACAGGTCCATAAATATGTTCCTGACCCCCAGACTTTGAGTGGAATTAAATAAAAGCGATTTCAGATGTTTTCCATGTAAACCTCAATTTGGAATGATTATTTCCATGTAAACTCCTTCGAGTTTACATGGAACAACTTCAGAACAACTTCAGAACAATTCATTTAGAATTAATAAAACATGTAAACGTGGCTATTATGGCATCTATCGCCATGGAGACAAATGGGACAAACAAGCTAACAAGTTACAGAGCACATCTGTGGAGAGGCGACTGCGCTCAAGAACAGGTGTTTCTATACATGTTGTTGAGCAGTAAAACATTTGTAATTGAAAGACAATCTTAATGCCATACTGTGGAACATTCCAATCAACACCACAGCACCAACTTCATGTAGATAAGCAAATGTCAGATCCTCCACCAGAAATGTTACACAATGTAAGCTCTGAGCTGCTGTGTTCAGCCTTATGTAACTCCTTCAGTCCGAATCAAATCAGTGATAAAGTTGTTTCTCAGTTCCCACATAACACTCTTTGTTCTCCCCTGAACACAGCGCCCCCTGCGGTTCAGATTATAGACCATAATATGAGTATACTTGTCTATTTGTCATACTTCATATCACATTCTCCTCCGCCTGGTCCCATCGGTCACACACTCTGTATTTCACACCTCTCCTCCCTCTCTCCTCCTTCTCTCCGTCATATTTAATAAAGTCGTACAATCATTTTTATTTAAACACTGCGCTGGGGAGGCTGTGAGGCTGAAGGAAAGATGTGAAAAAAGAAGAAAAGAAGAGAGACTGGTGTCATTTGGAATCTAATTGGTTTTGTAAAGTGTGCCTTGGAGTTTGGAGTGCCAGTCTTTTACAATATGTGCCAATATACCACTTACATTTAGTTTCATTTTTGTAGCTGTTTTCATCCAACAAAAGCAAATGGAGAAAACCTACACTGTGTTCTATTTACTGACTAAAACCGAAACGCTAAATTGACTCTCTAAGCTATGTTAGAATGTTGTTATCTCATCATAACACACCTGGAGTTGTGTTTTGTTTCATTCACACATGTTCGAGTAATCCTGCTTTATTACTTTGTCTACATCTCCAAAGCTCCAAATACTCTGTTCCACCTTGTGATGTCATGAAGTGGTAGTTTTCATGTCATGAAGTGGTAGTTTTACCTTTAGTTCAGTAGAGACTAGGGATGTAACGGTACACAAAAATCTGGATTCTGTAGTATGTGCCTTGGTTCTGAGGTTCGGTTCATTTTCGGTACATTATGGGAACAAAATGCAGAACCATTTGTCTGTTGTTTATTTGTGTGTTTTATTAAACCAACAATTTGTTTTAACATTATACAAACAGGAAAATTAAATAAATGCAAAGTGCTGCTTAGTAATACTAATAAGTGAAATAAAATATTTTCAAATAAGCAACACATGTATGAAATATTATAAAAAATGAATTCCTTGTAAACAGTAAACAAAACTTTTCAAAAAGTAAATCGCAGCGCTAACAGTTCCAGCCTGAACTTTTACTCAATCTTCAGATTTTTGGCCAGAACAAAAAACAACTTGTCCACACTGTCTGCAGTAAGTGCAGATCTGCTGCAGTTACGTCCCCAGCAGCTGAAAAGACCCTATGGCTAGAAACAGAGGTCGCGGGTATGTCACGGTGAAAGTGAGGACCGGGGCGCGATGACAGTAGTTTTGTGAGGATTCACGTGGTTCGGAGGGACGTAGTCAAGGCGGGGGGCAATTGTTGTCAAGACAGCTGCTCTAACTATAAAGCACTGTGGGAAAAATTGTGACCCCAATCACAGACAAGTTCCCTGTTGAATATTAAAGAGCTGAGTCTTCTGTGTGGCTGCACATGTACTGGTGGAAGGGAAACACACACAAATTGAACAAACTCACTCGTGTACAGCCCTGCACCGAACCGAACGTCCTGTACCGAAACAGTTCATCACATACATGTACCGTTACACCGCTATGAAGAGACTATAAATTCCATGGAAATGATTCTAGTGAAGGTGTATAGAGTTTAAAAATACAGTGGAGCACTTCTTGTACAGTGTTGCCATAGGTACTTTGAAATAGTAATCTGACTACTGACTATTGATTACTTCTTTAAAAAGTAACTTAGTTAAGTTACTGACTACTTGCTTTTAGAAGTAACTAAGTTAGATTACAAGTTACTTTACATTACTGTTTTCTTTGCACCGGGTGGGACCTGCTCTGTTAACGTGGTTGAGCCGTGCTGTGTCTCTAGATCTCTTTCTTGAGGTTCGATGTTGTATTCTTGAAGGCAGACAACACTTTGTCTCCAGCACAGAGTGAACAACCAACCTTTATGTTGCCATCTTTAGCTGAAATAAAATGAAAATAATGTTTGTATTTCCAGCTACAAAAGGCGTACCTCTCTCCCTCCATTGTTTACATCTGACTCGTGGTGGAGCGGAGATGACGTAACATCATAGGAAACGTGTCACCAGAAACAATTTATATGATCTTTGGGGTCACATAACCCACGTCGCCAAAAAATAAAAATAAATAAACAACGTATGTCGCCCTGAAACACAAAAATAGTAAGGCACAGTGTATTAGATAAGTAACCTAAACCTGACTACTGGTTTGGAAATAGCACTGCATTAGACGACTCTTTACTGAAAAAAGTAGTGGGACTACAGTAAGACGTTATTAAGTAGCGCGTTTGTGGCATCACTGTTCTTGTATTACCACATGACATCACAAAGTTGAACAGAGTTTGTTAAACATGTGAATGAAACAAAACACAGCT